CCCCCCCCCCCCCCCCCATTTTTTCTAATTTTAAATTGTTTCAGTGTGCTATTTGCATATAAATGAATATTATGTGTTGTTTCCATTGAAGCTTACATATGTTATAGTTGACACTCTAACTGTACCCTAAAAGGCAGACTTTATTATTATGGACTTTGTGATTTTGAGGTCTTTCAACATTTTTCACATAGAAAAGAAATCAGTAGTGAGATATCTTTAATATCTCAATATTTTCTCCTAGAAGGGGTGTTACAAAGTATTTGTGAAAGCTAGCTAACAAAATATATATTGTGTGTTGGAGTAGTCCAGACGCTACAGCTTTGAGATTAAATTGAGACTTTATCTCCTGCCTTTGAGATGTGGCTCCTGAGAAAAGACTCCAGTAATGTTTTGTGTTTTGTGTTATGTTTTGTATTGTATTGTTTTGTCTTGTTTTGTGTAGGCCAGTCAAAGAATATTAAAAAGTAACATTCCCATAATACTGGAACAATTATAAAAAGGACAGTTCCATTAATGTTTTATCTAATGTTCACATAACCAAGAAGAAAATGTTCATACATTCATACATTATAAGGTTTAAAGGGTTTTAAAACTTAAAAAAAAATAGAATGTTCATAGATCTTTAGATTTTTGTCTTGGTTTTGTTTTGTTTGTTCACAGTGTTGGGGAGTAGCTAGCTACAAGTAGCGACGCTACAAGCTTAACTACATGTTTCAGTAACTTTACAGTAGCGACGCTACTTTTAAAACAATGTAGCTTTTCCTGCAGCTAGCTACTTTTTCCAGCAAGTAGCGGTGTAGCGCGACTAAACGCTACATTCCGTTTTGCGTTCTGATGGTTAATTATTTATATTTCCGGTCGTTGAGCTAAATTCGCTACACGAGTCACGAGCCTGTAATGAATTGAAGCAGTGCAGCATCTTCTTCGGACTAGATCACAAACTAAATTTGTTAATTACCGACATCTGTTGTTGTGATCTCACGCATCGCGCTGCTTTACAGTCTTTCCACCTACAAGAGATTGTCTGATGATATTGCAAAGGATGTACAGGAGTGGATATTTCACATGAATCCACTGTAATTTATGCAAAACAAATATTAAAATGCGGTCTACGTCGAAGACCTAAAGCACACACAGGAGGTGAATAATAGCCTTTTTAAACTGATTAATTGTTCTTCTTTATTGCACTCTAGATCAAATGTCTATTTTACAATGATGAACGGTCATAATATAATCTGTCCCCCGACAGTTTTGTAATGAACACTAATCAAACAGAAAATAAAATCGTGATATAGTAGTGTGTTTATCATTTGGCAAAGGATGGTTGCGGCGGGATTCACGCAAAGCGCAGTGTTCACACACGCAGCTGACAATTGACGTCTCCATTCACAGTCAGTAAATACAGCATGTGCTGTGAGTTTAACCTGCTTATTTTGTGACTCTTCCTTATCCAGTTTAAGTTGCATACATTTTGTTCTTACATTGGAGTTACGTTTGTAGCAATATAACTAAAATAACTATTTAACTATACAGTATTTTATTATTGTGTGTATCGAATAGTTTACAAAATCAAATGATTGGGAAACTTTTTGTCATTGAAATGGCTTGGAAAAGTGTCCCAATCAACCTGAATTCACCCTAGTCTTTGAAATCATGATTGCATTACAGTATGTTGTTTTAAACCCCAAATATTTTACTTGTAACTTCATTATATTTTACTTATAACTGCATTATAATTATTCATTAATAATTATTTAGTTATTTGTAATGTTAATTGTAAAAAAAAAAAAAAGAAGAATAAAAAATTGAAAGTATCAATGTAGCTAGCTTCTTCTTGACAGTAACTTGTAGTGTAGCTAGCTACTTTTTCAGAAGGGTAGCTTGAATGTAGCTTAACTACATTAATTTATGAGTAGCTTGTAGTTGGTCAAGCTACAGTTTCAGAGTAGCTTCCCCAACACTGTTTGTTCATAAATTAATAGGCACATTAACAAAACCTTCTCAGCACAATTTTTTTTTGTTAGCTGGGTACTTAAATGAAAGAGCAACCATGAAAAATTATAATGTTGTTCTTAACGTCAAAATCTATCATTTCTTTGCAAAACGGTGGTAACAATACACCCCCTCACCTTTACTCACTTCAAGGGGCAGTCAGACAATGGCATGGTTTTTTGCAGAGAGTTTGCAGATAAATTATGGTAATTTATGCAAATGCAATTTGTTTCAACAGATTAACTGTAGTAGCTCCACCTGTCGACTCAGTTGTGAGACTCCTGCAGCCTGATGAAACCATCCCTGCGCTGTGTGATTTCCAGAGTGCCGCTGCACGTGGAAACCTTCACCTCTACGTTCTAACTCAAATTACATTTTAAAAATACCACCTGACGTCTCTCCTCAGACATGGCTTGAAATTGTAATGATTTCCCACAATTCTCAGCTTTTTGTGAACTAAAATGATTTTCCACATCTCGTCGGTATTTTAAAAGTACTCACAAGATTGAAGGCTTCGAGCAAGGTTACCTGTTTTAATTACCACTTGGCCGTCGTGTCCGGAGGGAAACAGGACGTGAGATTTAAGAGGCAGGTTTGGGGTGTGGAGCAGGTTAAAGTGAAAGCTCACGCGGAGGTCAAACCTCAGGTGACAGATACTAAATCTAGCCAAGCCGCGAGCGCTTATCCGATTTTCATGCAATCTCTGACCCTTAATCTGCAGGTTAACAGCTGCCTCTGTGCCACCGTGTGTCACTCTGTCACTGGCTAAGTCCACGCTTGCATGTGTGTATTTGCAGATCTCGGGGCATTCAGCGGTCGGGCGAGAGGAGCTGTTTCGGTGAGGGAAGGCCAGGGCGTTGTGCTAATGTGTGCCCCCCCTCCTCATTCGCCAGGTGGGTACTCTCTTTCTGTTCTGTCTCCATCTCTATACCCTGTTGAAAAGAGCAGCATAAAGGTCACCAGCATGCATTTTGTTTTGGATGCTGGCGGCATATGAAAAGGAATCTTATATTCAAAGAACTTATAAGATGGATATTACAAGTCATATAGATTTATCTTCTATGCCAGTAGTAGATTTGCTCTGCCACATTTCATACTTACTGTAGGGTCCATACTATGAAAGTGGCACATTTCATGCCCCATTTAAATGCAAGTGCAGGTGGTGCTACAACCAAAACGAATCATCACAGCTCTGTAGCTGTTTAAATGAAGGAGTTGAAATCTGGCTTGCATTTTCTTTGGTGCATGTGCTTATCCTAGAAATATCAATTAGACAAATCAACAGAAATAGACAACAGACAATCAAAATTCAGAAGCCAATCATTCCAACTGTGAATGACTAATAAAGATGAGATTTGGTAGGCTTATATGTCTGCAAATTTTGGACAAGAGGCTGTGTACCAAATTTGTGACAAGTAACCACAAGGTAGTGCTATAAGCAAAGGCATTTATACAGATTGTTTACAAATCGTTTATATTTCAAATAAATGCTTTTCTTTTTTACATTCTATTTATCAAAGAAACCTGAAAAAGGTATCATGGTTTCCACACAAATATTAAAGGGCTCATATGATGCAATTTCAAGTTTTCCTTTCTCTTTGGAGTGTTACAAGCTCTTAGTGCATAAAGAAGATCTATAAAGTTGCAAAGACTAAAGTCTCATATCCAAAGAGATATTCTTTATAAAAGTTAAGAGTCAACCACGCCTACCTAAAACGGCTCGTTCTAACACGCCCCCCACATGTCTACGTCACTATGTGGAAATATTAGCATAATGCCACCTAAATGTGCACGCAAAGAAAGAAGGCGTGGTTTCAGGAACAGCAGTAGTATTGATGCAGCCATTTCAGGGAGACACAGTGTGTTTCAGTGCAAAAGCACTTTATTTGGCCTTCCAGAAGTAGATGCAATTAGGAATCATTGGTTAAGATTTATTTACAACAGAACAGCACAACCCAGATATTTGAATTTGTGCAACGCATTTTATGGACGACAGTTTTTTTTTAACCTAGAAGAGTACAAGGCTCGCTGTGCACAAAGGCTATTTCTAAAAAAACAAAAAGGTAAATTCCGACTTTGCTATTACAATCTGGCGCTTCTGAATCAGCGACTGTAAATATGTTTTGTTATTAGTTTAAATAGTTGCTATTGACTGTTCAAATGTGGAGTTTTGCGCAGCACAGAGTAACGCGTCATGTGTGTGTGTGTGAGGGGAACAGGGTCACATCACAGGAGAGTGCACTGCCTGTCAGAAATCATAGCACGTCAGCTGTCTTAACCGCGGCTTGTGTACTGCATCATCACTGCGTCTGTCACGCGACTCTGTTGCTCTTTCGGGCTTGAACTGATGGTAAAACTAACGACATTATTAACTGTCTTGATATTTACTTTGAAAGCTGAAGCTCGCGATTATGGTAAGGGGGCATTACATTTCCGACGCGTGCTTGTGGTGTTCGGCCAGTCACAATGCACTGGGTCAGCTGGCAAATCAGAGCAGACTGCGCTTGTCAAAGGAGGGGGCTTTGCTGAAAATGACGGGTTTGAGAGAGGCGGGGCATAGAGGACCTACAATAATGTTCAGTATTTGAAAAATAATGTGTTTTTTTGCACATTAAAGCATGACAACATATTCTATTACACCAAATACACAAAATAATGATCTTTAAAATAGTATCATATGACCCCTTTAAGCAGCACAGCTCCTTTCAACTAGGGATGCATGATATTATCGGAACGTTATAGGAATCGGCCGATAAAGGCTTAAAATGTAAACATTGAACTATTTGTAATAAAATTTAAATTAAAATGCGCAAATAACATTAAGATACTTGTGATTCTGAATAAAAAGCAGTAATTGATGTCATAAAATCACAAGTCTGTTTTGATGTAATGGTCAGAAGTTATAGTTTACATGAATATAAATCACAAACATGACACTTATGAAAACATCTCGAGGTTACGTATGTAACCATGGGTTCCCGAAGGGAACGAGACGCTACGTCGAACGCTTTGGGAACGCCCCCGGCGAGACCCCGTACTGAAGCATGTGTGAAATCAGTCCAGTAGAGAAGCAAGATGTCACGAGCGGGGTGACGTGAGCAACCAGGAAGCATAAAGGTGCATCCGGCAAATGCACATGTTAGCTTCTGCGGAAGCGAGTGCCTGAGTACCATGGTTACATACGTAACCTTGAGACATTCCCCTTCAGGAACTCGAGCTGCGTCGAATGCTTTGGGAACGAGAATACCCACTGCCCCATACGAGCAAGTCTCTGTCTGATGTGTGTCTGGCGAGCACATCAAGACAAGTGAACTTGAAACCCCGGGGTTGGTGCCAGGTCCAGATTGTAAAACCGGATAAATGTGTGCGGAGAGGACCAGCCTGCCGCAGAACAAATTTCCTGGAGGGCCACGCCCACTGATAAGGCCTTGGAGACCGCCATACTCCGGGTCGAGTGCGCTCTGACCCCCATCAGTGATGGGAGGCCAGAGGACTCGTAGGCCAGTGTGATGGTCTCAACCACCCACCGACTCATGGTTTGATCGGTCGCTGGAACCCCTTTCTTAGGCGAACCGAAGCAAACAAATAACTGATCTGCCTTACGTCACTGGGCAGCTCTGTGGATGTAGATTGAGTATTTCCTGGAAGGGGGGAGGACAGAAGCCCTGTAGTACTATGAGACCCAGTTAAGAGGTGGGCACCTTAGGGACAATCACGGGTCTTGGGTAAAGAAACGCCTTAACCATGCCCGGGGCGAACTCCAGGCACAACACTGCGAGTGCCTGAAGGTCCACTATTCTCTTCAGTGAGGATATAGCAAGGATGAAGACTGTCTTCAGCGTGAGTAGCTTGTCAGAGACATCTTCAATGGGTTCAAAAGGAGCATTGCCGACCAGAACAGGGCTACTAGCAGCAGATGGACCCCGTCCCGGCGTACTGAACGCCCGGGAGCAGAGCGATCAGGGGAAATGCATACAGAAGAAGCCTCGGCCACTACTGTACCATGGCATCCAGCCCAAGCGGGGGCGAACAAGAGAGGACAGTGTGTCGTTTTCTGCGACGCAAATAGATCCACTTCCGCCTGGCCAAATTCCCTCCAAAGGAGGTCCACCACTTCTGAGTGGAGCCTCCATTCCCCGGGCCTCAGCCCCTGTCTCGACAGGATGTCTGCTCCCTGATTGATATGCTTAGGAATGTAGACTGCTCTTAGTGAGGGGAACTTTCCCTGAGCCCACAGGAGGATTTGGTGTGCCAGCCTGTAAAGGGGGCGCGAGCGCAGACCCCCTGCCGGTTGATGTAGGAGACCACCGATTGTCTGTGCGGACAAGCACATGATGCCCTCTTAAGTCTGGAAGGAAGCGTTTTAGAGCTCGAAACACGGCCAACTCCAGGCAGTTGATGTGCCACATGAGATGATGGCCTTCCCACAGACCTCAGGCAGAGCTCATGACCGCTCCTCAGCCCGTGAGGGAGGCGTCCGTCGTTAGCATCACACGACGACAAGGAGCCCCCAGCGACGGGCCTTGACAGGAACAAAGGTTTCTTCCACATGTCTAAGGCACGTAAGCATCCCGCATGACCTTGATCGTGCGAAGTGGGTTCCCCCTCAGGGAAAACCCTTTGGTTCTGAGCCACCACTGCAAGGGTTTCATGTACAGCTGGCCAAAAGTTATCAATTGGACGCAGCTGCCATCAGACCCAACAGTCTCTGAAACTGTTTGACAGTGAGTAACAGTGAGTGACCCAAGCGGTTGACTGGCAAGGAACAACCGACCTGACTGCTCTAGTGCCCTCATCTGAGGGGGCGAGCTTTCCCATGCCGTACCATCGCCGGGCAGCAGCTGGGAAATTTGCTTGCAGGAGCCCACTGAGCCTTGAACCGAGAGTGGCAGGGGTATCAGTGAAGCTCCCTGAGGGCACTGAGGAGGATCAGGCACCGTATACTGAGGTGTGTACCTCTCCTCCCCAAGGTGGGCTGCACTCAGGGTCCTGAAGGTGGAATTTTCAGGACCGCTTGGCCGAGGTCCTCTTGGAAATAATAACAGTCCGCAGATCCATTTTCTTTTTAGAGGACCCCGACCGAGAGTGCTGCCCCACCCCCTGATCTTTCTGTGGTATGAGGAGCTAGACGGCTGGGACTGCTCCCGCTCAGCAGTCCCAAAGACCTGGGGGCGGCGAGGGAGGAAACGCTGGAATGCCGCCGCTTGCTTCTTCGCCTCCTGAATCCTCTCAACGACAGTATCGAATGCGCCACCGAAGAGGCCAGAAGGCTATAGCGGGGCATCCAGGAGGATGAATCTTTCCTTGTCTTGTAGTTCGGACAGATTCAACCACAGGTGTCGCTCCGTATCCACCAGTGCTGCCATAGAACTGCCGATGGCTTTGGCCATTTCCTTGGTGGCTCGAAGCGACAGGTCTGTGGCCCGACGTAATTCTGCGACTACGCCATGACTTCAGAATGGAGATAAGGGAAAATGGAAGGCCCCGTTGTGAAGGCTGTGATCTAGCTTTAAGGAAACGCTCGTCCCAAGAGCAAGCTGGACGAGCGCTTCCTTAAAGCTAGATCACAGCTTCCTCTTTCTCGGCTGGCCATTCGACGTTCAGTTTGGCTACAGCACGAGTCACAACCTCCACGAGCTCCTCATACGCGAGGGACTGCGGTGACGAGTCCGCAGTCTCCTCTGTGTCGACGCTCATCACATCAACCTCCTCCGAGGAAGATAGATGAAGCGCCTGGCCCTCTCTCCGGGAGGAAGAAACCACGGGGCGGGCTTCCAAACCCTGAGAGGGGGCCGTGGATCTAGCAGGTGGGGACCGAGATAAGAACGAGCCTGTCTCGGATCCCTCCGCTAAATCTACTTGCGATCCCTACGATAACAGCTGCCGCTGTGCC